CGGTTTTTGCCGGCCCTTTTTTAGTTAGCTCTTTGAAGCTTTCACCCGCATACGCCAAAAAACCAAAAATATTCTAGCTTGGCTCTGTTTTTGTCGACTCTAATCGCTGCACTTTGGTTTTGTCTTCTATGTTCCATGAAAGAAGTTAAATTCGCTGCCTAAAACAGTTTCTGTCTTTTGCGCGCATCTTCTGAATTTTTGAAACGGTTGGAAGTTCAGGAGAAGCTTGCCAATTTCGAAAAGTCTAAGATGTGATCGGCTGAAGGTGGCAACAAACACCCCATTTCTGGGCTGGTAAACAGCTGACGAAAGAGCTCTGTTGTGCATAAATTTGTGTTCAAGAGTCCATTTTGCGATCGCTGGCCATAAAGCAGTTTGGGCGCTTTTTCTATGTTTCCCGCCATTTTCAAGCCACAGAGGGCCAGAATCCACAAAAGCCGTCAAACAAGCTGTTGAAACCGTTTCTCAAGAAGAGGTGTCCCTCCGTTCTCCTCGGTTCTTCTCGGTTCTCTCTCGGTTCTCTCTCGGTTCGGTTCTTCCTCGCTTCTCCTCAGTTCTCCTCGGTTCTTCTCGGTTCTTCTTACAGCTCAAAAAGGCTTTCCATGAAATCCGGAAACTTTGTGGATTTTTGCGGTTTTGTGCACGTCTGGACCCTGAGTCACTTTGCGGTTGCATCTTGCCTTAACAGGTTCAAGAATTCCAGGTTTCAGCCTTGCTGCAAGCTGTGCAAAGCTCACACGAGCCACTCACAGGCGGGGGGTGTGTCGTCCTGTCGTGGAGGTTGTCATGGAATTTGGAGGTGTGGCTGGAGGTGTCGTAGGGGGGTGTCCTTGGGAGCTCTTGTGTGGGATGCAGTTTGAGGTGTTGCGGTCGGTTTCATTTCACAGGGCGTCGTTGTGTGGCGAGTCGTGGGGCATTATGGGGCATTGCTCTTGGCGTGAGAGCTCCGCAAGTGAAGCACAGCCTTTTAAAGCAGTTTTGAGTCGAATCGCAGCAAAGGGCTGAATTTGCGGCGTTCGGCGATATTTACTAGGCTGCTGTGTCGCTTGGCTTTGGCACCCACCTCACACTTGAGGGCTTCGATGACGGTCGTTTCCTTGTCTTCATCGTCGCTGAGGCTTCCGCAGCTTTGTGTATACACCGGCTTCCGAGTAGGCTGTCTAGACTCTGAATTGGCATTCTGTTCGTTTCACCTGTACAGTTGGCGCTCTTGCTGCCATGTTTAGTGTATAGTTCTTTTGCTCTTCGTCGGGATTTGTTTCCGCAAACCGTGCGACCGCGTCGTGTTACGAGGCCGCATCACCCAACAAAAAGACTTACAACCATGTCGGTGAAGATTTCTGAAGGAAGTTGTTTTCGCTTTGACAGCCGTTTGCTTCGCCGCGCCACCATCTCATGCCTTCTCAATAAGGAAGGGATGAGGCCACTGCGAATTCAAAGAGAAGCTAGGATACAGTGACATGCATAACCGTGATTTTGCATTGCGCAAAAACAATGAAACGTCCACACTGTTGCATTTGTCAATTGAATAAATATATGACGACTTCCGCGTGTCAACACAGTGTCACAGTGCACAAATTGTCTCTCGTGTTGGTGATGATGACGATGATGACATGTATAATGTTTTTGTGGGGTCCTGCTTGTGCGAATACATGAGCGGATTTTAGGGTTAAAGTTGCCAACACACCTATCTCGACAGTACCGCTTGGCATTGTACAGCTTTCAGCTGTGTTCTTGGTGCCTTATGGTGATTGCAGTTGCCGACTCGAGAACGTACCAATGTGGCACAGTGTTGACCGAACTATCAATCGAGCAACAACTTCTGTATGAGATTTGAAAGACGAAAATCATGAGGAACATTGGGTATGAAACATACGATGCCTGCGGCTCAAGCGTTGGAGAATGTGTTGCTCTCGGGACTTCGAAAAGTAGTTCGTGTGTTTGCGGCTGATGCCTGCTCCGCGTCCAGCATCTGCTGGACGGCCGGCAGCCGCGCGACCTGCATCGGCAGGCAGAAGGCGGCTGGGTGAGCCCAAGTTTGGCAATGAAGCAGAGTCTTGGCGCCATCATAACGTGTGTTTGTACATCCGAGTTGGGCATGTGCCAGTGTTGGACAATACATTCGAAGGAGTTTGTGCCACCTTCTCCATCGACCTTGCCGATCTTCCATTTCAAAGCTGCCGCTGTGCTAACGCTGCCATGATGTGAGAAATAAGCAGAGACACAAAGCCATGCGAAATCGTTCGCAGCGTATATGCTCAGGACTTGATGCGACACCAAGAGCGAATCGAGACAATCGTCAGCGAAATGCTCGTGCGCATTCCAGAGGTGACGTCCCAGGCTGGCAATTACACATCTGCGAATTTGCTGCTGGGGTACTGTAAGCGAACTTTTGTTGCTGGTGTTGCTGCAGGCAGTACGGGACGAACTGGGCAGTTTGAAGATACCGCAGCTGCCTCGGGACATCAGTCTCAAGGTCTTGCAGGTAATTGGAATGTATCTCGGGCTGAGGATGAACAGGCAGCGCAGCTCTGTCAGAATGTCGCAACGCAGCTCCCTACAATTTACAGGGAGTGTTGCAGACCTTCCAAGCGTGCCGCAGGCAGGAAAGAATCAGGGTTTAGTTGTGTGTTTCGGTGAGGAGCAGTTTCGGCGTTACCGGTGACGGTCCAACTTGTACTCCACAGCCTGTGTAAGGGTTGTTTGTCAGGTATCATTGAATCAGCCCTTCGAGGATGAAAGCCTCAACAATCAGCTGGCATTTTCACGCTCTACAAGTGCCTCGCTTGCATCCACAGAACTTGGCACGAGCAGCAGAAGGCAAGCATACCAGAGCTCTGTTCAGCCTTAATCCCATTCCATTCCTTTGTTGGTCGTTGCTCTTCCCGCAACCAAGCTCGTGCTACATGGGTGTCACCATACCATGACAAAGCATGGCCTTGCTTTTGCTAGACCCATCGACTGAGGCAGTAATGGCAAGAGTCCTTCACGACGTCCATCGCAACAGGATAAACTAGAAGCATGGGGAGGCAACGGCATGGCAATTGACGTGGCTTTTGTTCCGTCACGCCAGATGCAGTCTGTCCGACCTATCAGGCATAGAAGAGGAGGCCTGCGCTGAGGGAACATGCAGAAACCTTCTGCACTTTTCTTGGGGTCGGGCTCTTACCTGCGAGGCCAAGTTCAAGCTGGACAGGGACAAAGTCAAAGGTGTCAAAGACTTTCTTGCCTCTTGACTCTTCACGGCCCATGCTCGCTTCGGCACTGCTTTTCACGGCCCATGCTCGCTTCGGCACTGCTTCATGGCCCTGACCAGCTGGCGGCAAGGAGATGAAGAAGCGGCAGCTTGATGCCGCGACTGGAAAGAGGTGCCAACGATTCGCCCGGATGGTGGCACCCAGATTGCAAGGTAGTCGTTACGAGTCGGACGCTTCATGTCCTGCTCAGTGAAGTTGAGGTGACACATCCGAAGTTTGAATTGGGCTGCGCAATGCTGATTCTAGTTTGTGCTGTCATGATTGGCGTCGAAGCCCACTGGACAGTCGAGCATATTGGTTCACCTGAGCCATTGACCTTTCGCATTCTTAACTCGATCTTCAACCTTCTCTTCGCTGTGGAACTGATTCTTCGAGCCACGGTGGACGGACTATATTTCTGGTCCTGCTCCAACCCCTCCATACACTGGAACTTGATGGATTCGGTCCTGGTTGCTAGATTCTTGCCTTGATAATTGCACCTGCAGTTTGAACTGGTGCAATGTCCTGCGCCCTGTCCTTCTGCCAAACCAGGTGGGCTTCTGGAGGAGTTGTTGCTCGTGCTGTTATACGCAGCCAGTGTCAACCTGTCAGGCACAAGATGCACGTCTGGTGCGTGAGCAAGCAATGGTGTAATGATACATGAGCGCTCACATGTCTTCTGAGTACAGCCCATAAGACACATCATCTTCTGATGATGTCGAGACCGCTTCCCGATGCATGCCAGGTCTGAAGATACTTCGGATGGTGCGCTTGGCGCGGATATTGAGAATAGTGAAGGTGGTGCGCTTCTTCTCCGAACTGCGCATTATGGTAAATGGGGTCATTGGCTCGGCGAAGTCGCTGATTTGGGCTCTACTCCTGCTGATCTTGGTAAATTTCCTGTTCGGTGTGCTCGTGATGCAGCTATCCGTGGAGTACCTGGAAAATGTCGACTCTCGTGCTGAATTGCTGGACTACTTTGGCTCCCTTGATCGTACTATGCTGACACTGCCACCCTGCTAATTTCTGATCCACATGCTCGTACGATCATGGACTCACATCGAAGTCTCCATGTCATGTTGCGCAGAACAGGTATGAATCAGTCTCTGGCGGCATAGACTGGAACAATGCCGTGGTCACGCTGCGTCCTGTGGGTGCGTGGATGGAGTACATCTTCGGAGCTTACGTGTTCTTCACGGTGCCTGGACCGACCTTGTTCATGTTCGCCTGAGTGCGGTGGTTGTATTGGGACTCGCCAGGTGTTCTGCTGCATGAACATAGTCACAGGCATTTTCGCACTGACCTGAGCTAGTTGTCGTCGTTCTTCTCGACGCAGATCGAGTTCCGTACATGTGAGCTTCCGAGGTGGACAACGCAAAGGCCTTGAAAGTGGCAGACGAAGAAGCCATGCATCATGAGGCGATGAAGGACTCCTCAGTGGCATTTTCGTGTCTGCAAGGGATTTCGGGATCGTGTTCATTCTTGTTTGCGAGGATGCAACAATATGTGTCTTGGTTGGTTTGCTTACACCGCTAGCACCGAACATAGAAGTGAATCGTGGCCCAAGCCTTGACGAACAGTGGCCGCAGATCTTTAACTCAAAAACACTGACGAGGGTGACGGTGATCCTGTGCATCGGGAGAAGGGGATTTGTTGCATACTGGGGTTGAGATACCGAGATTGCATGCTGCACGGCAAGTCAACTTTTCAGAGCAAAAGCTCGGCATGCAATCTCTTCCTATCCCTATTTATTGTGTGCTCTCCGCTGTAGCAGTCACTAGGGAACCAGTGCCCGAATGGTTCAAGTTTAGGTGTAGTTTCGCCACTCAACTTAGCTTGTCGAACGCATTGGATTTGCCAGCTCACTTTTTGACCCCATTAAACGTCGCGACAGACTGCACCATTCAAGTTAAGCTGCTGGAGCCACATCGCAGACTCCCTCATCTTGCAGCTTCAAAGTGTTAGTAGGCTATGTTTTGGACTAAACCCTTTCCAAATCAGCGTCGCTGAGTCCAAAGAGTCCGCAGAGAGAACCAGGATCAGGTCTGCAAAGCCTCGTCTGGGGTCGCAAGTTTAGGGCTTATCTTCGTGCTTACGCCAGATCCAAGGGTTCGGCTGGGACTCATCGGATCAAGCTTGAGGTTTTCCTCTTTCCTTTTGAATCGAAAGCTTGCCCAATCAAGGGTTTGGCTTCCAAAGCTTGCTGTCCTTTTGGATCCGAGGCTTTTCCAATGAAGGCTTGGCTTCCAAAACTTGTTTTCCTGAAAGCTTTCCAACAAGGGTTTGGCTTCTGAAGCGTGCTTTCCTGTTTAATCGAAAGCTTTCCCAATGAACGGCTTGGCTTCCGAAACCTGCTGTCGTTTTGAATCCAAAGCTTTCCCATTAAAAGGCTCGGCTTCTAAAGCTTGCTTTCCTGTTCCTGGTTTCTGCGGGCACCACCAGAAGGCCCTGCCCGGGAGCAGTTTATAATTGCGGGGGGTTCATAATTGAGAAAAACGGCTTTTGTTACGTAGTACTCCACCAGGATGGATTGATTTTCTGCTGCCGGAATAGGGAATTGTACTCTAAAACAGTTGAAGTTGTAACCTTTCCAGGAAGAATACAGCACTGACAGGAAAGGAAGACCAGCGTCATGTGTTTGTCCGCAGCATCTGACAGGGAGGCAGGGTGCTGTTTGGAGATGGTCTGGGGAGATTTGGGGTTTACGATAGCCTTAGCTCAAGCGGTCTTGGGGCTGTTCCAGGGCCTGACAAGAGCTGGGAGCACACTGAGGATGGGCAAAACAGGGTTTCAGTTCTGTGGACAGAGGCGTGTTTGAGTTTCGGTGTGGATATGTATCCTTCTGAAGAGACACTGTTGGGTCAGGCTGGCTGTGGCGACGCACCGTTTGCAGAACGTGCGGCCTGTCAGTCCCCTGAGGTTGATCGGCCCTTGCTGCCAGAAGCCCATGACCCAGTCACATGCTGCCGCTTCCTCCTTGCTATGCCGCTTCCACCGGATCTATCCCATCAGCCGGAACCATGACGATCTAGGGTCAGCTGGAAGCATTGGTTGCCTGTTTCATGGTTTTGCCATGGCTCGCCACTTCTTGCTCCGCTACCAGGACCTTTGCAGCTTTGAAATTTTGCTCAAATGAGCGGCTTGCCTGGCTCATGTTTGTGACCATTCTTTTGTGATGATGTCAGGACGTGTTTGGATTGACTTATGAGGCCATGTTCCGTCTCGCCAAGAGATTGGTGGAAGCCGGCTTATGCTTGGAAGACCTCATGGGTCACACGTGGTTACAGCTCTGTCAGCTTAATGCAACGGCAGGCCGGCTTCCGCTTACATGTGCCTGAAGCGCTTGCGCTCGCCGTGCGGGAGTAAAAACGGTTCTGTCATATGTGTTCCCGATTCTGGTGGTGCGTCACCGAATTCTTGGCACGGTGTCCATATCATCTTTTTGTCGTGGTTACAACCCCATCTCTTACTACTGAAAATCTGCAGCTTCGGAGTCCCGTGGCTTGTAAACCAAAACTTTCCCAATCAAGGGCTTGGCTTGTCCTTTTGAATCCAAAGCTTTCCCAGTGAAGGGCTTGGCTTGTAAAACTTGCTTTCCTTTTCCTGGCTCATGCAAGCACAGTTTAGAATTGAGGGGGTTTAATAATTGAGAAGAGCCGCTTTTGTTTGTACTCCATCAGGATGGATGCATCGATTGCTTGCTGCTGAAATAAGGATGTTTATTGAGGACACCATGGTTTCTGCGACCATTCAAATCTGCGGTTTCGGAATCCCGTAGTAATTGCAACTTCTTTTTCTCTGCAAGACTGGATCGGTCGTAGAAATTGCAATTTCTCTCTCTCTGGTATGCTGGAAGGGTTGCAGTAATTGCATTTTCCCTCTCTCAGGCATGCTGGAATCTCTAAAATTATTGGATTTGGGGCGTCGGGTTTTATAATTGAGGGGGGTTTTTAAAATTGAGTTCCGCGGGTTGGGTTTTATAACTGAAGGGGTTTATTGACGTCAACATTATAACCCTCTCGTTGCGAGGATGTTTCTCACCGAACTAATGAATAAAACGTCATGGACAAAGGCCTCAGGCTTAAAAATGCCCCACATCCGCTAGTATGAGGCAATGTGAGCCGTCGCCGCGTCGTGTGCGTGCACTTTCACAGCATGCTGCCTGCCGCATTGGTTGTCGGCAGGGGCGGACGTCCGTATCAATCCGCAAATACGAAGAAATCAATGTGATCTTCTTTGCATTTGAAATCAAAATCAAGAGCAAGCATGCAGCACGAACACGGAACCGCAGGAAAAAAACAACCAACCAATCCACCCACCCACCCACCGACCGACAAACCGACCAACCAAGCAATCAAACAACTAAGCAACCGAACAACCAAGCAATGAAGCAACTACGTAAGCAAGCAAACAAACCAGGCAAGCAAGCAGGCAGGCAGGCAGGCAGGCAGGCAGGCAGGCAGGCAGGCAGGCAGGCAGGCAGGCAGGCAGGCAAGCAAGCAAGCAAGCAAGCAAGCAAGCAAGAGAGTATCCGACCCTGAGTGGTTTTT